CGCATGTCCCTGTGGCCCCCACTCAGCGCGCCCTGTGAGAAACAATGAACACTGGCGAAGCTCAGGAACCGCTGCCAGCCCCTCCCAGGGCCGAGGGACGGGGCTGAGGGGGCAGGGCATCACGTGCATGGCTCTCCCTGGGGTCGGGGATGCAGGCCGCTGTTTGGAAAGAATATGAGAAGACTGAGGGTCACCCAGACCCTGGACGTGCTGACCACTGGCACCTGTTCTGACAGGTCGTCTTTAAGCCTTTGCTCTGTATTTGAGGAGAGAGACTGCGTGTGGGAAGGATGCGAGAAGAGGCCCACGGGCAGCCCCAGCAGCGTGGCTCTGTCCCCAACCACAGCACATCCCGCCTGGCGAAGCCACAGCCCTCAGCTGACGAGACCACTTTCCCTGGAGGGCACCTCCCAGGGCAGCCGGACCCACGGAAGGCCGCCAGCCACACCTGGAAGGGCTCTGGGAGACGCGCTTGGCCCCTTTCCCACCGCTGTCCGTGACGGTTCATGCTCCCCTCGGGGGCCAGCCGGGCGTCAGTGGGCATCATGCCTCAGCCTCCGGCAGGTGGCAATATCAACCTGCACAAGAGAGTTCCCCCGGCTGTCTCTCCAAAAGACACACCCGCCACCCCGCCGCCCAGCCCCCCATGTCTCTTGCACGGCCGTGCTGACCGTCTGGGGCTCCCTTGGGGGACGGAGAGGGGGTTGTCCCTTCATCCGTTTATAGACCAACAGAGAAGCCAAGGCCCGGGCTCCCTGACGAGACAGTGCGACGCTTCTGAGCTGTGAGGATGGTGAGCCCCCGCAGGGGCTCCTTTCAGGGATTTTCTAACTTCTGTCTTGCCTCCCAGCTTGATATGAAGGAAACTCCAAAGAACACTCAAGTCCCACTATCGGTGTTTCTTGAACAGCACAAGCAAACAAAAAGTGAACGTGAGAGAAACATTCAATGGAAGGAAAAGTCGCACCACCACGTGAAGCAATGGCGGCTACAACTTCTTCTAGATTAACCTGACAGAACCCTGAGTATGAGTCTCTCTTGACGCTGATGTGTCGGGAGTGTAAGTGGAGGGGCCACTCTGTGTTCTCCCCTCCAGACGACCCCCTCCACGCAGCGTGGGCTGCGACCTCTGACTCGGGGTGCACCACGGCGCCGAGGTGCGAGGAGGGGGGTGGGGCAGAAGTGTGGCGGGGACGGAGTTTCAGTTTGGGAAAATGAAGAGCTCTGGGGTGGACGACGGTGCTGTTTGCACATCAATGTGAATGTACCCAAGGCCATGAACTGTACACCTAAAAATGGTTAAGATGGTAAATTTCATGTAATGCGTATTTTACAATTTTTTAAAAATGTTTGGCTGCCAAAACCTCCTTCCTCTCTGGAGACAGGGCCGCCTTCCTTTCTCTGCTTCTCAGGAGGTAAAATCGACTCCTGCCCTCTGGCCTTTACTCTGCGACCCAGCCTCCGCCTGCTCCCTGATGCCCGGAGGACCCCTGAATGCGGCCGTGCCCTCCCAGCCCTCCCCTGCCCCCCGTCCACACTGCCTGGCCCCAGAACTAGTGGGCCCCACAGTCCCCTCTGAACGCTCTTCACCAGGACGGGACGTGCACCTGCACAGTGGGGGCCCTGCTCCGACCCCACCCCGCCCCCTGCCTGCTCCCTGCACCCGCCCAGCCAGCGAGTTCCTGCTCCTCCGTCTCTGCCCTGGCAGGTCCCTCTGCAGCGACCTTCTCCCCACCCCTCCCCCTCCCCCACGGTCACCTGCTCCCCTCATTCGGCCCAGTGTCATCTCGGACAGCCCCGCCCCGGCCACTGGGGCGAACCCCCCCACCTCCCCCACCAGCTGGTCGCTCTCTGTCCAATACTAGGTTCTAATTCCTTTATGGTCTTTGTCACTCTCTGAAGTGCTGCTGTGTCTGTGGATTGGCTGACATTTTACAGCCGACCTCCCTCGCTCGACTAGCGGGATCTCTGTTGGCCTTGCTCAGAGCTGGAGCTGGCACCCGGCACAGAGAGGGTGGGACATCCTGCTGACCGGTGGCTCTGCCCTCGCCGCGCCTCTTGACTGTCTCCAGCTCAGACAGGGCGCACATGTGTCTTTGTGGATGATCTCCTCTCTCCGGGCTCTTCACCATCAGGTAATGCATATTTTGTGCCCAGCACAGCACTGGGGAATGAGGTTTCAGGGATGCTACGGTGGCCACAGTGGGGAAGGAAAGGGACTCACACCTCTGAGGCCACCGATGGTGGCCCAGCAGGTGAGAGGAGAAGGCGCAGCCCCATGGCCGGCCACGCCCGCACCACCCTTCCTCTGAAGGCCTCACCACCCCACTCGGAGGCCTTCAGACCCGTGGGGTGAGGGACCAAGCGTGAAGACAGGAGGCACATCATTTGAAAGGGGACTCCCAAGAGGCCACACCGCTAGGGGGAATTTCACGCAGTCTGGGGGTAATAAGGTCACTTCCAGCCTGCTCACGTCATGGTGAGACAGGCCCGGTGGTGCACCCAGAACCACAGGGGCCAGGCTGGAAATGCTGGGGACACACGCAGCTCCAGATATGTGGGGAGATGCAGAGACCATGGCATTGTTTACCAGTCCCCACTGTAATGAGAAAAAATATATATACACATACATATAAACATGCACATACACATACACACACGCACATGCATATACACAAACATGTACACATGTGTATACACATACATGTGCTCATGCATACACACGTGCACCTACATGTACACGCACGAGCATTCATGCACACGTGTGGGCATGTGCGCATACACAGGTGGGTGCGTGTACATATGAGCATGCATGTGAACATGTGTGTGCATACATGTACACATGCATGTGCACACACACGCATATACACATACACCAAAGATCTGTACACGATCTTCTGTGGTTCCCGTTTTTGCCAGTGTGAAAGTCCAAGTCCTTACAGTGGCCAAGAAGGTGCTGAGTCATCTGGTTCCCCACACTCACCCCAACACACACACACTGATGTCTCTGATCTCACCTACTGCCACTTCCTGCCACTAGCCTCCAACACACTGGGCAGGCACTCCTCTCAGGACCTTTGCACATGCAGCTGCCTCAGCCTTGAGACTCTTCCCCAGAATCCCAAGTGGATCACACTCTCACCTGTTTGTGCCCTCACTCGGATATCACCTGTCAGTCAGCTCTTCCCTGACCACCCCGGTACGAGCGCACAGTCTCCACCCCAGCACTCCTGACCCTCCTCCTGAGACTTCCTTTCCTCCAAAACTTCCTTACACCTGGCGCACTATGTATTTCACTGCAGCACCCTCTGTGTTGCCTTCTCCCTGCATGGACTCTTGGCCCAGGGGCGTAGGGCCTGGACGGTTCACCACTGTGCCCCCAGCACACGGACCATGGTCTGCCATGCAGGTGTTCTCCAGATATTTGTTGAGCCAAAGAGCTGCATGTCCATGAAAAAAAGAAAAATGGAGGGGGAGCTGGTGCTTTTCTCTGTAGGAGGGCAGAATATTGCCATGTGTTTCCCATGTCAGAGGAACACAAGTGAAGACGCACGACGCAGCAAAGCGTCCGCGCGGGCACTCAGCGGATGGAGCCGAGCCTGCCATCCCTGCATTGGAAATCGGGTGGGAAACAGAAAACTCCCATCTAGGGGCCGGCCCCGTGGCCAAGTGGTTAAGTTCGCCGGATCCGCTGCAGTGGCCCAGGGTTTTGCCGGTTCTGATCCTGGGCGTGGACAGGGCACCGCTCGTCAGGCCACGGTGAGGAGGCTTCCCACAGGCCACAACTAGAAGGACCAGCAACTAAGATACACAACTATGTACAGAGGGAATTTAGGGAGATAAAACAGGGAAAAAAGAAAAAAACAAAGAAAACATTGGCAACAGTTGTTAGCTCAGGAAAAAAAAAAAAAAAACTACTCCCATCTGTGCAGGACCCAGGAGCCAGGCTGGGAGCAGGGCCTCCCCACCTTCATCTCCGCCCAGCACAGCAGGGCCCGCTCTCCGCCTGGAGCCCACTTGCTGCCCGCTCCCCCTTCTCCCAGGACATAGCTGTCCAGACACCCACGGCGGCAGCTCAGAATCCAGGTGTGCCGGAGTCTTCTCTCTAGAAAATGACTCCTGCAAACCCATCTGAGCCAGGCCGGGGAGGGGTGCCCAGATCTGCCCCCGTGGAGCCCAGAGCCTGCTGCCCTCCTGAGCTCCCAGCTCTGCATCCTCCAGGACGTCTCAGCGATCAGCACTGGGCACACTCCTGGGGGATCCCAGTCCAGTGGGAACATCCATCCACGGTCCTGTGACAACTCCTCTTAGTAGAGACACCAAAAAGTCTGTCACCGTGGCCTTCTGCTGAAAGGCTGTGATGCCACAGACAGGGAAGGCAAACAAACCCTCTCTCCCATCTACAAATGGAAACAAACCCCAAAAACCTCCCCCTCCAGCATGGACCACACCAGAAGCTCTGCACAGCCACGAAGTGTCCACAGACCCACCAGGACAGGTGGGAGCCAGGAGCCCAGGGAGGTGGCATCCCAGTGAGACCGCATGGCAGCACCTACACCCCAGCCCGGCTCCCGGTTCGCACCTCCAGGCTCACCATCCCGGGGCAGAGGCTGGGCTCAGCGGCAAGTGCCTGGGACTGTCTGCCCTGGGTGGCCACGCGCTCCGTGCCTTCCGTCTGCTGTCAGGACTCCTTCCCTAGGTCCTGGATGCAGCCCGAGGACAGCAGAGGGGCCCACCCCTGAGAGTCAGACAGTCCACTGCAGAAGGAGAGAGGTGCCCACTGCTACCCCAGGGGCCAAAGCCAGATCCTGACAGTGACGCACTTCCGCGGAGGACTCCCGCCCACCAGCCTGGACCGCTGAGCGGGGGTTGTGGGCAGCACGGCGCAGCGGCCACAGGACGCCCATTCCTGACAAGATGATCCCTAGAACCAGGCGTTCACTGTTATTTTTAAGCACTCAGTAATTTTTTCCTAGGTATGGAGAATCACTTCCAGGAATTCATCATTGGAAGGAAGGTTTTTTTCAGTCTGGGGAAAGTCACTTTAATATGATGTTCAGTTACATGCAAAGGTAAAGCCAAAATCCTATTCCAGACGAGAATGTTCAAAAATCAGAGCAAAGCCACGTCATAATAATGAGCACGCACGCTCACTGTGTGTCAGGTGCACATCTGCACACTGTACATCTATTACTCACTTAATCCTCTGACCATCCCATTTAACAGACGAGAACGTTGAGGTGCAGGGTGTTAATGACTTGCCCGAGACCACATAGTGAGTGACAGGCAGAGTCTGCATTCAAACACAGACAGCTTGGCTCCGAAGTCCAAATCTTCACAATTACACTCATCACCTTCCAGTTCAATAGCGTAAAAACATCCTCTTCGTTGTGGGAAGAATGACACCACTGGGAGTTATTCCAGGTCTGGGTTTGGGGGCCTGGATTATCAGTGGTCAAGGGCACTTCCACTGGGAGTTGATTAACTGGCCCCTACAAAATGGTGGCACACTGGGAAGCAAAGAGCAGTAACCAAATGGACCTATCCACCCCACTAACCATACCTTCCCCACAGAAGGCCAAGGCCAATTCCAGGATTTGCAAAATCCAGATCCTACAGGGGCTGAGCAGGACACATACCTGAGTAAAGCAGGTGAGGTGACGTACAATAGGGAGTGGTGGAGACTGTGCCCAACTGGAAAGGACAAACCTCCTCCAAGGGGGCGGCTACTTCTCAGCTCTCATGGTGGTCCAGTGCAGCCAGAGCTTCAAGTGGGGGAAGAAACACAGAAATCTGGCTATGCGAAAAGCTACCAATTTTCAAATGTTGGAGACAAATTATTTTTAAAATTTTAACACTGACAAAACAACACACATCAAGGAGGATGTGCTGTTAGGGTCCTATTCACGGTCACATCTGGCATCCATTCAGGGGGTCCCACTCTGTCTCTTGTGTACACTTTCATTTCGATTGTCTCCAGTCACCCATCGTGCCTAATGCTGGCAGCCCCTCCTGCCGGCCCCTGTGCATCTCACTCTCGTCAGAACAGAATTTCTACAGGGGCTGGCAGCCAGCCCCCTGGGCCCAGGCTTCTTGATCAAAGCCAATCGTGGCCACTTCACTTCTCCCATTGGTTATCGGCTTAGGAACGGGCCTGCATTCCAATTCTGCCATTGAGATATTAAGGAGAGTCGACTGGGGGCAGGACTAGGGAGAGTGCAACAGTTATTTAAAAGCACACAAGGAAAAATCTTATCCTGCTCTCTTCCATTCTGTAGAGATTTTGTGTCGGTCCATGCATGGATCCCTGGCAGCCATCTTGTGATCATGAGGAGAACTAGCTGAGATATGGACTCAGAGAATTAAGTAAATCTGGCACTGTCCTATCTCCAAGTTTCTTGTTCTGTGGAATACTGAATTTTGCATGTTGTTTAAGCCATTTCAACTGGGTTTTCCATTGCTGCAGCTGAGAGCATCCTAAATGATGCACTAGTCCTAATTGTATTACTAACATCCCTCCTCATCCTAGCAGCTCAGTTAGAGCATTTCAAGGGCCTTGCTGAGATCACCTGCTGTGAGCCCCCATGACTAACAGCTGGGGGACGTGGCACTCAGTTCCTGATTCCCACATTTTCATGGAGGGAACTGGACCATGAGGTTTGAACTTATCCACAACCACCAGCCAGTAAGTGGCAGAGGCATTGTGACCTGGTCTCGGGGCTTTCCTCCTGAACACCACAATCTGGAATGTGCAAGTGTTGGGCTACTAACAAGATCACTGGTGTGTGTGTGACAGAAGTAAAGAACAGTGAACACCATCAGCTGAAATCTAAGATTCTCCACCCGGCTGCTTCCCGACACCTTTAGGCCCACACGGTGTTACTGGAAAGGACAGTGGCAGATCACAGGTGCAGGGTGAGCAGAAGAGGCTGTGGAGGCTGCAAACAGACCCACATTCAGAGAGAAGGCCTTGACACTCCTTAAAGGCTTGGGAAGTTAACAACCATTCATATGCTTTAAGCTATCTACAGTCCCCATGCATCATTTTTGATTATTCTCTTTAGCCAATATTTTCCTTTGACTAACCCACCACAACCGTCATCCTGTCATATAGATGGGCCTCCTACATTCTTAAAATGTGTTGCTGTCAAACGTGGAGGAATGATACACAATCTGAGAAGGCTGCATGTTTCAAGAAAACAGAGGACAGCCTACCTTTTGGAAGCGAGGCTGGTTCTTGCACACGTAATGTGGAAATCACGTGATTCTATGCGAGGATGTTCCCCAGGCTGTCACTCGTTTGCGTCACCTGCCACAGCTCTCCAGGCACTGACCCCAGCATGGCCTCATCTTTTCAGGAGCTTGTGTGGGAGGAAAGCGGAGGGGAGGTGGTGAAGGACTCGGGCAGGGAGAGGTGAGCTCATACCTGACGGCCTCCATCTGTTCTGTGAACATGAGCGGAAGTTGGTCTGGGCCCAGCCCCCTGGGAGAGGGGTAAACGAGTGTAGAAGCTGCTCCTTCCGCACATCCCCGCCCCCACCGGGTCCCGTGCCCCTGGCTGTGCTCCACCCTCTGTCCCTTCCAGCCTCTGAACTGCCGCGCCCTCTGCTTCTGCCCCGGGTCCCCCACCTAAAGGTCAATGTCTTGGTTCCTACAATTAACCCTCTAGCTCTCTCTTGCTACTTCTTTGCTCTTCAGTACGTATGTTTCCCATTAAAAAAAAAAAAAAAAACTCCGTGATCCACATACCCCTCCATCTAGCACCCAACTGCCCTGCTCTCTACAAGGAAAACCCCTCAAAGGGCCACGTCCTCACCTCCCACTCCCTGCTGAACCCACGACAGCAGTGAGGTCCACGCCACCAAACGCAGCGGCCCCCGTGCCCCTCCTTGCCAGCGGCACCTGCCAGAGGTGGCCGCTCCCTCCTCCTCGAAACTCTTCTTTTCCCGGGTCTGTGGACATCCTGCTCTCCGTTCTCCCACGGTCACTGCCCCTCGGGCCCCTGGCTGAACCTCCCCCTCCCCCAGACTCCCCATGCTGGAACAGCCTCGTCCTCGTCCTCGGGCCACTTCCCTACCCTCTCTGCCCGTGCCAGCTCACCCAGGCTTCAGTTAAAGCACCATCCATGCGCTGACGCCTCCAGAATTTTAGGTCCTCGGCCCCTCTCTCCTGAGCTCTAGTCTCCCGTTTCCAAAGGCCAACCTCATTCCTCGACTCCCGTGTCTACAGGCCCCTCACACCCATCACGGACGGAGCGCAAGTCTTGATTATTCAACACCAAGCACACACGCCGGCCCCCGTTCACCTGGTGGCCCAGGGCCTCACACTCACCTGATACCTGGGCCAGACCCTGCGCCCCATCCTGACGCCTCTCTGTCCTAGTGAGGGTCCCGGCAAGAAACAGAATTTGGAGTAGACGGTTAAATGAAGAGACTGTCCCGAAAGGGCTCCTGTCAGAGATCAGGGCAGGGAAAACACGCGCGACAGCTGTTGAGGGGCCAAGAGACCAGCAAGAGAATAAAGAGAACTTCAGAGCCCAGGGGAGCGGAGTCCCTTCATGGGTGGACCCGCAATAGGGAAATGACAAAGCTGCTGCTACAGCTTGAACGTTTGCGTCCCCCAAGTTCATGTCTCGAAATCCTAATGCCTGCCAGAGGGTCTTAGGAGGGGAGGCCTTAGGGAGGCACTCAGGTCGTGAGGATGGAGCTTCATGATGGGATCAGCGCCCTTCCATACAGACCTCAGAGCTCCCGCCCCCTCCTCCAGGTGTGGACACAGCGAGACTCTGCCACACCCGACCGCGCCGGTGCCCTGATCGCAGGCTTCCGGCCTCTGAACCAAGAGAAAGAAACGTCTGCTGTTTCAAGCCCCCTGGTCTGCGGTATTTTGCTCTAACAGCTGGAAAGGACTAAGACAGCTGCTAAGAGACAGGGGGTTGTGAGGCGAGGTGGGAGCACGGAGGAAACCCCCAAACTTCCCCCATTAGTGCTCCCCGTCAGTCAGCTGGTCAGAAATCAGAGAGCAAGAGCAGGTGAAGTGGCCCGGGGTCGGCCTCCGGGATGCGGGGCAGGAGGAGCACAGAGGACGGATGGGGTGGGACAGGCAGAGACCAGCAAGCACATGCTAACATGGCACCCCGCCCCACCCGGTACCTACTGGAGGGTCCAGAAGAAGGTAAAAGCCGAGGGTGATTTGAGAAGACCCTAAACCTGAGCACACTGGTCCTCTCATACAGACGCAGCGGCAGAGAACGGAAGCCCTCCTGGGTCCAGGTGATGAGCACCACCCTTGTCAAATTGCTGGCTGACCAGTGACCTCTGCAGACAAAGGGATGACCTCAGACACGTAGGCGTAAAATAAAAACAAAGAGGAAAGGGGCTGGCCTAGTGGCCGAGTGGTTAAGTTTGCCCGCTCCGCTGCAGGCGGCCCAGTGTTTCATTGGTTCGAATCCTGGGCGCTGACATGGCACTGCTCATCAAACCACGCTGAGGCAGCGTTCCACATGCCACAACTAGAAGGACCCACAACTAAGAATATACAACTATGTACCAGGGGGCTTTGGGGAGAAAAAGGAAAAAAATAAAATCTTTACAAAAAAAAAAGAAAAAAACAAGGAGGAAAGAGAGGAACTGACCAGGGATTTCAGCAGCCGCACGCCACAGAGATTTAGCTCAGACAAGTGACTACGCAAAGAATCCATAGAGAAGGACAGCCAGAAACACAGCAGCAACAACCGCCGGGTGGGGGGCCAGGATGCAGGGCTATATACCATGGTCATAACAGTTAGATAACAGATAATGCAGAGACAATATGTCGCCTAAAACTTTTAAACAAAAAATTATGAGATATATAAAGAAACATTAAAGTAGGATGCATACCCAGCAAGAGAAACTCTCAGTGTACTCAGATTTTCAGTGGAGCAGACAGACTTCAAAGCAGTTATTATAAATACGATAAAAGAACTAAAGGAAACCACACTGAAAGAACTAAAAGTATGACAATAATGAATGGACAAATACACACTCTCAAGTAGACAGAAATTATATTTAAAAAAAAAGATCCAAATGAAAATTCCAGAGTTGAAAAGTAGGATAAGTGAGAGGAAAAAATTTACTAGAAGGTTCCACAGTAGATTCCAGAGGGTACAGGAAAAAATCAGTGTACCTGAAGTTAGAGCCATAGAAATCATCCAATACGAAGAACAGAAAGAAAAAATATTGAAGAACGATGAACAGAACCTCAGAGACACGGACAACACCAAGGACCCCAACATATATATAAGGAGAGTTCCAGAAGGAGAGAAGAGAAAAGGCCAGAAGAAAAATGTTTGAAGAAATAATGGCCAAAAACTTCCCAAATTTGATGAAAAACAAAATATACAGAGATCCATACCTAGACACATTGATGCCAAACCTCTTAATCTCAGATTATGTGCCTGATGCACAGTAAGGGGACCACTGAGACACCCTGCTTGGAGGTAGAAAAAGGTTTATTCCAATTGGCCAAAATGAGAAGGTGGGAAGAGAAGTTTTCTCAAATCCACCTTCACAAAAGAAGAAAGCAGGGGGTCTTTCTAGAGCTGAGGGCCTTGGGAGGAGGAGTTTTGGACAAAGGGGAAATCTGTGTTTCTTTCACTCCAGATAAGCCCTTGGGCAACGAGGCTCCTGGGTGGTCAGTGGCAGCCGGGGGCTGGTTATCTGGGGATCATCATTTCCTTGAAGGCATTTTTTTCTTCTGCAAAACAAGCTCATATATCCTTGTGACCCTTGAGCCACCTCTCCGGTTAAACCAAACAGCAAATTAACAAACTTATAATGATGCGTGGATTAACTTCTTTCCATCTGTCTTTCCTGGGAACAAGGCTGAAGGGTAACCATGCTGTTATTGAATACATACAGTAGCCCTCAGGTACGTGGCTTCAACATCGCAGTCAAACTCTGCAGAGACAAAGAGAAAATCTTGAAAGCAGCAAGAGAAAAACGACTCATCTCATGCCGGGAGCATCAATACCATTAACAGCCGAACAATGCAACGACGGAGGACAGAAAGCAGCGGAATGGCATATTCGAGGGCTGAAAGAAAGAAAGGACTATAAACCAAGAGTTCAACGTCCAGCAAAACTTTCCTTCAAAACTGAAGGCGAAATTGAGCATTCTCAGATAAAGACCGAGAGAATGGGCTGCTCGCAGACCTGTCTTACAAGGAACACTAAAGAAAGAGCTTTGAACGGAAAGAAAATGACTCCAGTCACTCCAGTCTGAAGGAGGCAATGAGGGGCGCCAGAGATGGCAAGTATGTGTTGACATAAAAGGCCCTGTAAATATATCTTTCTCTTTTCTTCTCGTAACATCTTTAAAAGACAGAAGATTGTGTAAAACGATAATTTCATCCGGATTATACAAAGCACTCTTACAATTCAAAAATAAGCAGACAGCCCAATTTTGAAATGTGCAAAAGATTTGAGTGGATGTATTTCTAAAAAAGGTGTACGAACGGCTAATAAGCACATGAAAATGTTCCTCTTCATTCAACATTAGGGAAACACAAATTAAATCCACAGGGAGCCAGGATGCGCCCCCGTGAGCAGAGCTGTAACACACAGAGACAGACACACCGAGTGTGAGCGAGGACGGGGGAACCTGGAATCCTCATTGGCTGCTGGGGGGAATGTAAAATGGCATGGCATTTGGCAAGCAGTTTCCCAGCTTCTTACAAAGATAAACATAAACTTACATAGGACCCAGCAATTCTACTCCTGGGAATCTCCCCAAGAGAAATGGAAACATCTGTCCACAGAAACACACGTACACACACGCTCAGAGCAGCTTTATTCGTAATCCCTAAAACTGGAACCCATTCAAATGTCTGTGAACTGGTGAGCGGATAAACGAAGTGTGGAATACAATACAAAGCAATAAAAAGGGAACAAACTACTGATTTGTGCTACAAAACAGATGGGCCTCACTAACACTACGCTAGGTGAAAGAAGCCAGATGTAGACCACGTATAATATGATTCCACGTGCAGTCAAGTGCCAGGTAACCACATTTTGGTCAATGACAGACCACACACACAACGGTGGTCCCGTAAGATTAGTACCCTACAGCCTAGGTGTGCAGGAGGCTATCCCATCTAGGTTTGTGTAAGCACACGCTAGGTTGTTTGCACAACCACGAACTCGCCTAATGACACGTTTCCCAGAACGTGTCCCCGTCAGTAAGCAACACATGACTGTACGAAAAGTCCAGAAAAGACAAATTCATAAAGAGAAAGCATTATCAGTGTCCACTAGGCTGCGGCGGGAGCAGGGATTAGCAGGAGGTGGACTTGGGAGGACTCTGCCGGGTGATGGAAATGTTCTGAAACTAGGGGGTTGTGATGGTTACGCAAGTCTCTAAGTTTACTGAAAATCAGGGAATTACAGTTATGATGGACGAATTCACAGTAAATTATCCTCAAAAAGCACTTTAAAAAGACAAAGGCATGCAGGCAATACGCTCCTCTCACCACTCGTCCTTGTGCCGCAGGCTGTCACGGTCCCCCGAGGTCTCGAGAGCCCGCTCTGTCTGTCCCCCGCACTCTGAACCCCGGAGGTGTCTCCCCTCTTGGCACGCTCCCGGCCTGGCTCCGATCACCCCAGCCTGCCCCCGCCGCCCACGCGCCGCCCACGCCCCGCCTCCCCTCGCAGAAGCCCCGCCCACTCCCCCCGCCCCCCTCTTGGGGCCGCTCCCTGCTCCGTCTGCGCGCGGAGTGGCACCTGCGCCGCCGCCCCGTGCCTGCCTCGTCGCGAGCCTGCAGAACGCTGGCATCGGTCACTCTGGCTCCTCCCGCGCCCACCCTTCCACGACGCAGCTCGCAGGGCCGCCCCCCCGAGGACACGAGGACCTCAGGGACACGCTGGCAGCAACCTCGTCCGCGCGCTGGCCTTCGCCTCGTGGCGCGCCCTCCAGGAGAGCCTGCACGGGGCACTGGGCGGGGGACGCAGCGACGCGAAGCAACCGCAAGCGCCGCCCGGGCTTCTGGAAGGCTCTCCGGGAGGCCCATCCCCACCCCCTTCCCGCAGAGGGGGCCGAGGGCGCAGGGCGCAGGCTGACCTCCTGACCTCTCCCGGCCCCGCCGCCTTTCCCGGGCCTCTCCCACTCGGGAAGCCGAGGCGTGGGCCCCTTCGTGGTCTGGGAGTTAGCGTCCTGTTCACGCGACAGTCGGAAAGCCAACCGAGGGGTGGCCGCGCCGCGCTGTCCCCCGCCGTGTCCTCCTGGTCCCTGTGATAACACAGGGTGCCGCCTCCCTGCTCTTCCTGACGGTCGCGACGTTGGCCTCAGACGTGCGCGGAGGCTCTTTGCTGCGTGTGAGTGCTGTGCCACGTCCGTCCCTTCCGCGCGCACTCTGAACGCGAGCACCGCGCCCGAACGCCCCCGAGGCCCGCGTCCACCTGTCCGGGAGCGGCGCGTCCCTCCGGTCGCCCTTCACGGGGCTCCCCTTCGCAGAGGCAGAGAAAAGCCTTGTGTCGCGTCCACTGACACAGCGACCGAGGGGGACAGGCCTCCGCGCCCTCCCGGTGGCCCGCCCGTTCATACTAGTGGAGCACGCGGGCCGGGCGGCGGGACGGCGGGGCTGCCCAGGGCCCACCCTGACCCCCGGCTCTTCGCCCTGACTGCTCAGCAGGGGAGCCCCACACCCAGCCTCCCCCGAGTCCAGCCACTCTTCCCTGGTTCTCACGCGGACTGTCTAGTTTGAATGCCACCCCAACTTAACCCATTTTTAAATTTGTGGAAGGACGTGAGTTTAGGTTTATTGAAGTTAATAAAAATTTGGAGGTCATGGAGAGGACGTGACCTCTGGTTGACCTTTGAGCTGGTCCAGGCAATCAGGCTGCTCACCTAGCCCGTCCTGGTCCTTGGCAGGTACCCTCTGACCACCCACGGCCCCACGATGGAGGCGTGATCAGGGACGCGCCCGAGGGCTGTGGTGCTGAGACCATCTGGGCGGTGCAGCGACTGACCCCGTGAAGGCCTCTAACTTCAAGGTTCTGGCGGGCAGGGTGGAGCGCTCCCTGTCGCCGGCCGCACAAGACAAGCTGGGCTGTGAGTTCACTTGCTGGCTAAACCTGCCACCTCCCCATCTCGGGTGGGCGACCTCGCTCCAGGGTCTCTCCTGGCCTCTGGTGCTGGGGCCAGTTTCACGTTTCACCTGGGAACCTCCCAAGGTTTCCAACCAATACAAGGCATTTAGGTGATCAACTTTGTTTTCTTTAAAAAGTATAAACAAAGGAACTAAATTACTGAATGCGTGTATCAAGATTGCAATTTGAAAGGAAATTCACTGTGGAAGAAACGGAATTAAAACTAATGTAGGGGAGCTGGCCCGGTGGCTCAGCAGTTAAGTGCGCACGTTCTGCTTCAGCAGCCCGGGGTTTGCCAGTTCAGATCCTGGGTAGGGACATGGCACCACTTGGCAAGCCAGGCCATGGCAGGCGTCCCACATATAAAGTGGAGGAAGATGGGCATGGATGTTAGCTCAGGGCCAGTCTTCCTCAGCAAAAAGAGGAGGATTGGCAGCAGTTAGCTCAGGGCTAATCTTCCTCCAAAAATAAACCCACTAATGTATGGGAATCTATCTCCATTAACATTTTCTCCAGGACCATCTTATTTTCCTTTCTTTTTATTAAAATTCTGGTACTTGAACATCACTTTTTAACATGGTTAGAATTCAGTAAGGGTTATGGATTAAGGAAATTCCACTCATAAGAAAAACTCTGAAAGAGGATTAAGAAAAGTATGGAGAAGAATTAATTCAGAACATGGCGAGAAGGACCCCCCCATCAATAAATGTTAATGAGAATCTGTCAAATTGACAAGCATTCAAAGCCAGTGACTTTGAGATACAGCCCCAACTCCTTGACTTAGCATTTGTTGTTAATAGCAAGAATTCAGGTGGTGGGGGTTGACCCCATGGCCCAGTGGTTAGGTTCACAAGCTCCGCTTTGGCGGCCCAGGGTTTGGCAGATTCGGGTCCTGCGCGCAGACATGGCACTGCTCATCAGGCCATGCTGAGACACATCCCACATGCCACAACTAGAAGGACCCAGAAGTAGAATATACAACTATATCCATGGGGGCTTTGCGGAGAAGAACTGGGGGAGAAGAAGATTGGCAACAGAGCTCAGGTGCCAATCTTTAAAAAAAAAAAAAAAGGCAAGGAACACATAATTAAAAAAAAAAGAATTCAGGGGGCTTCCTTAACGCGCTGCTGACATTTGAGACACGAACCACAGAAGCTTGTAATAACAAATAATTAAAAAATTTATCAAAAATGCCTAAAACTGTTAACTCACACTATATTATACATAATAATGGCCACAAGTAAAGAGTAATTTTCTTAGTGGAACAATTTATTAATGGATATGCAATAAAATATCTCCCCCAAAATCTTTCCAGAAATGACAAGGCAGAAAGTAAAATTTTTTTGGTTCTCTGGGAATTTTTTTAATGTAAACATGAAATATTTGAAGAAATGATAAAAAGTCACAAATAAACCTGTAAATATATTTTTAAAAATATGACTTCAAATAGGTACATGAGGCTCAGACATACAAATGTGCTATCTGATGAATGACTTCAATATCTAAATACAAATCAAAAAGCATTTCCATAACTTCAACTACAAAAACACAAAGTCAGTAAGACTCCAAATCCAGCAAGGCTGACTTGAAAATATACAGTCAGGACGGTCATGAAGGTGAGGACCAGTAAGGCTGCACCTGAAGAGAAGGCAGGACAGACGAAGCTGGCTGTCACCAGCACACGGCTCCTCCACACGTGGACACCATCACAGACAACGTCATAGTAACACAAGCATGATCTCTAAATATTTAAATATCCTTCAAGACAAGTTATATCTTCAACTTAAGCACAGATCAGTGAGCATATCCCACTGGCAGGTTATTGAAAGATTTTAAAAAGTCCATGTTAGAGTCAGAATACTCCTACAGTAATTCTGAGTACACAGTGATGATCAGCAGGTACATAAATGCATAAACACAGACTTGAATCTAAGCTAAGCAGTGAGATGTACAAATTATGAACGAGTGGAAGAATTCATAATTGTGTTAAATAAGGAACACAGTCTCTAAACTGTTCAATACAAGTCACACTTATTGTTCAGAATCAAGCATATCTATATTAGTTTTCAAAGTGAACAATGTTATAATACAGTCACATGCTTATACAATCACATACAAAAGTAACAAGAGTTAACATATTTTGCGTATCCTTCACATAGTCATTTAAAATTCCAACTCACTGCTAACTTCACAGATGTCCGTGCACTAGTGAGATTTCATACATTTTACAAGTCTAAAAATAAGGCATATATATTATACTCAGAAACATTAATGAGCAATAAAAAATGTTTAAATATCATAGATTCCTGTAAATGTGGGAATTAACTTTTAAAGTTCAGCAGAATAGTAGGTACTTAACAAGAACATTTAAGGGATCTGTACAACAGTTTAAATTTAAAAGAATTACCTCATGTCTAGAAATAATTTCCTTGAGTTTAGAAAGTACTAAATCTTGGTTTTATCACCATTTTAAATTCAGACTTCATTAATGTAAACAGAGAAACACAACCTTATTTTAACGAACAAAGAAGAGACCACTGTCTTTACAACGCAGTAACTAATTTATTATCTTGGGTAATGGAACAGGTAGAAATGGAGCTGAGTGCAATAATTGAGATTTTCCTGGAAGAATCAGGCACATTTAAACCGTATAAATCAATATTAACAGAAGGCACTTGAAAGGCTTTTTGGGGTGCTTTGCAGCCACTGTTTTCTATGCCAAGGGCAAATTATGTAAACAACTGTGCAAAGACCGCTCTAATATCATGAAGCTTCCGGTTTCTTTTAAAAAGGCAATATTTAATATATAAAAGTGGAGTAAATTAAGATGTTAATATATTAAACAATTTATAAACATTTAAAATTATAGATAGCTTACAAAACAGCTGTGATAATAAAAATTATTTTTGCAAACAATAAACAAACAGGAATTAAACATTGTATAAAACGTCTCTTAATTAGTGTATGTTAGCAGGGAGAAGGGGAGAGAAGAAAGCATTAGATCTGAAATCTAATAGCTTTATAACATAATATATTCCTAATTAAACTTCACATATATTCTTAACACTGAAATACAAAAAAAAATTGAAATTTTCAATAATTCCTTATTTTAAGGCCATTGAAACGGGCTTCACATTGTTAAATGTGGTGTGTTCTTCAGAGTCCAAGGATGTTTGGGTTAACTCATCACATCCAATTGTGCTTATGGTTTTTTCACTGAACAATACATTCTGTTGTGTTTCCTCCTTGAATTCACTAGTAAAAGATCAGCACTCAGTGCCACGTGTCACAATGTCTGGGATTCTTTCATGAAATGGGAGGATGCTCATTTGCTGCGGATGTGGTCTGACTCCAAGGACAAATGGCTCCTGGGCTATGCTGCTATGACAGTGTTGTTGCTAGGATAATTCCAAGGATCACAAGCAAAATAAGTACACAAAGAATAATGAACGTCATTTTCTGCAAGATAAAGAAAAACATTAATTAATTTGCAAGATATCAATGAAAGAAATTGCTAATGTCATTTCCTAACAAAATTCTCCTGAAATTTGAGATAGTTTAAAACACAAGTCCATTATCAAGAAAGAACCCCTACAGATCACGGAAGAGGGAGGTTGGGAAGGAAAGTCCCACAGGCCAAGCACTAAGTTACAGACGTGTGCATATTAAATTAAGTGAATTTAAGACATTAAAACGTGTTGTTAAAACAACTCTCTGCTCTCGGAGGGAAGAGGGAATGTGTGCTTGGCACCGTGTGGGCTCTAAATGAACACTTTCTACTGATCATCATCAAATTCCAGACTGCTATTTCTCAGATGCACTGTACATCTTTTTAAAACTTTAAACAAATCTATTTCTCCAATGCAGAAAAAAGTCTTATGTATGCCAATTTCACCCCGAGGCACGCTGCACCTGTGTAAGAAATCTTCCTGCAACCACGGCCCAGAAGCAGGGCGAAGCAGCATTAACTTTTCTTCTTTTAAATTAACAAGCATCCTTGCACAGTTGAAAGCTAAACCACCTTTGGCTTAAGAAATTCTAGTCTCCTCCCAGAAATGTGCGTGAGGAAGGAGGGAAGGAAGTCACAAAGAAAAAAGGCACACCGTGCTGCATGACTCTTTTTAAAAGCAGAGAGTCGTTGTTTTAAATCAGTTACCACGTGTACGCCACACTTTCATCCACGAAGGCCCATCTGCTGAAACTACACGGCTCTACATTAACCTAGCACGCCAGGAGCTCCGCTAATCCCTGCGTCATTCATGGAGCCCAGCAGAGCCAGGCCCCTCAGCAACTTCCAAGTTCACTGCTCGGAACCTTCAGGATCGCGCCTCCTTCCCATTTGTGGTGCCTGTTAATCTGACGCATGTCTCCTGGGAACGAGGACCTCCATCCCAGCCATGCTGGTGCCCTCTCCTCTTGATTTCCTGAGAACTTCTCTCAGCAACCTTCTAGGGACGCCTCTTTCCTCTGACCTGTGATGCCCTCCTTCCCACCAGTGTCCATCCTGTGGCTCCAGAACCTGGCTTCCGTGTGTCGCCGGCCCAGTGCGCCCCACTGACCCTCTCTACCTGCATCGCCTAGGACCGGGCCACTGTGGACGCGCTCTGACTCTGGCTGCTGTTGTGCATTCGAGAGCATGCGGGCACTCCCTGTGAGTGCTTTCGTCCACATCTGGCTCCCAGCTGTGCTCCTCTGAATCCCTGTACCCTAAACGCCACACGTTTAACAACCATCCTCATCTGAGATCCTGCTAACGTAATGGCTCAAGCCAGTGCTGGCCTTCTCTCTCGTGGACAGAGCCCACCCCGGGGAGTCAAGTGTGTTTGAGTTCGAGCATGGCCCTATCACCGCCTGCACACAAACCACGTGCACACTGCTCCCTCAGCCTGTCTGCTCAGGGAGGAGAGGGCACCCCCCACGCTGCAGGATTGTGGGGATGACGGTGACCTCCTCAAGGTGCCCGCAGTCCAGTGCCGGCCTCTAGGAAGGCTTTGCTGAAAGAATAAATTAATTTTTTTAAGTATAATTAAAGACATCAACCACTGCATTCGTATAAAAAAATAATTGTGGGTGTGCATTTTGATGTGTTTTTATTAATGAGGATCGTTTTGTGTTCCTCAGTATTTAAAGGTGCCAGCATAGATGGCCAGCCAGGCCTAAGGCACAGAAGCAGGCCCGCTGCTCCCCCGGCGGTCACTGAAAGGAGCCTGCTTTGATCCAGCGGCACGCCCAAAGAGCACCCACGAGAGCAGCTCCTCTCACTGGGTCCAATGGAAAATTAATTTCATCTCAGTATAACCACATTCAACCAACCATATTACGGCCACTAGGAAAAATTAAGAAAATACATATTTTAGAAAGAATTATAAAAATATTTTTAAAATACCATTATACTAGTGAAGAAAAATCAGATACACCATTTTTTCAAGCAGAGCTAATAGGAAAGATACATAAACTCTCTGCCTAATAAAAACAGAGTGCTAGGCGCTCTTTCTGCCTCTGAAGAGCAGGACGTTAACAAGCCCATCACACCAGCGCTTACGCTGAAACAACTTCAAGTGCAGCTGTGCGTCTTGCACGGATGTTAGAGCGTTAACTGCGACAGCTCCTTGTCATTAGCCCGTGACCAGATGCGCACAGGGAGAAGTAACTCGTGAGGACCGAAGAGCAGCTGTGAAACCGGACGTACAAGTGATTCCTTTCTACTATCACATCTTAGTTTTTAAATAAAGGGCCCAGAGTCTGTCAAGCCGGCAGTCGCTTTCATCAATACAGAAGGAATTCGTCAAGGACCACCTGTTACAATCTAGACACCCTGGGGCACTTCACAGTGCTAATCGCAATGATTATGTCAAACAAACTTTTTAAGAGAAATGACTGGTACGTCCAAGTTTAATACACCAGACAGCATTCTAACTTAAGGGTTAATGCAAGAAGGATGACTCCAAACGCCTAAGAAAACCAGAGGAAAAACTAAAATCTTCTGAAGTGTGGAGTAAGGTGATACTCACACAGTGAATAAAATATACTTTAAAGAAATAACTGAATGTCTTTCGTATGCAGAACTCTTTAATTAAGGATTAACAGGCATGCTAACTAAATACAGTCTTCATTTTAATAAGAAAATATTTGCAAACACACTAGACGCTGCCAAATGGAATGAAGTTAGATGGAAGATTTTAACTTTATTGAACGTTTTTCACAGCTTTGGTTCCACTCCTCTAATCCACAGTAAAATGAGTAAATACACCTCACGAAGCAGCTTTCAGTTGTTGCAATTATTCTAAAAGTTAAAACTAAGAGAGAAATTTTTTAAAATATTAAATGTTTTGTAACTGAGAATTAACCTTCACTGCCGTGGTTATTGGATTTAACGAATGGCCCACTGTAAGGCGTGAAGGAGTCTTCCTGGATCGGAAACAAAAGACAACGAGACGGAGGAGCCGTGCCTGCCACACCATCACAGCCAGGTCGTGTCAGGAAATGGAGCCGCTTTATAACACTATGTAAGCAGGAGGCTTCGTTTACAAAGGAACCACCACCCAGCTCGTGTTTACTCTCAGTGAACAGGACAGACAGAGACTAGAATTCAGCAAGTTGGGCACACGCGCCGCTGACGACATTCCTGTGCCGCTCCTCCGCCGGCAGGCTTTCATTACTGGTAAGCGTATTAAAATTGGGCAACGCCGCTGTTAGCTAATTGGGAAAGTTAAGCAGTCGATTAGCTGATTAGTTACTTACTGTCGCGCTGGCAGAGAGGCATGCACACTGACGATATCCACATCCTCATTTTCCAACTGATAAACCAATAATTAGAGCAATTACAGCAAGCAGAACCACACACAGAGCCACAATTATCCACTTTTTCTGTCAAAGAAAAGCAAGCTGATTACATCATGGTTAATTTCATATCGCTGCAGTAGAGGTTATCAGTCACTCAAAATAAGATGGCCCATCAGAATTGGTTTGAAAATCCAACTTAGAGGACATCTGATTAATTCTCTTTGACAACTTTTAGTTCCTAGAAAGTGACTTTTAATTTAAAAAGGTCCAACTATTTGTAGATAAACTGTTAGAGAACTCTCAGAACATTAGTTGTATCAGTGACAGTGCTGTGCGATTACATTATTTTGACAATTTCCGGATGGACTGAGACACACGCCTGCTCTTTTCCAGGTCTAGAGAGCTATGCAGTCAGCTCAGAGAACTAAGACACCAGTCCTGTCTTAATGAGCCCCAGCGTCGTCTCCTGGTTGGTCTGTGGTCGGCAGTTAAGGCCCTCACTGCTCCCCCACACCCTATAAAGTAAGTCATGCCACTGACGCCATCTGGCCTCGCAGAGGCCACACATGCTGCCCTGGGAATAAAAACAGCACACGAGGAGAGGGAGAGCCAACATCTGAGCCCATGCAGCGGCATCTAAGGAGCACGGGGAGAAGTTAAACAAGCTGTGTGGCTTCGGACGTCAGGCATTTAAGCGCAAGGGTGGCGATCATTTTGGAAACAGGCCTCCAGGCCCAAGCGGGAAACGTACAGATCCCAGCCATCCTCTCAGCCAGGCTCACTCGGAGGTTAGGAAGGACACCTTGTCTCATCTTTGTAAAACAATGAACTCGTCACTCAGTTTTCGTTGGACGGACATGCTGTTGAGATCACGGAGAAAAGGCAGGGAAGTGTGCTTTGTTAAAGATCTCTTTAAGTGAAAGTTGTCTTTGTGCCCAGAACTAGACTGAGCACTTCACACGTATGTATCCCGTCACCTCCCTCTACTCTAAGGGTCAGTATTCCAAAAAGTGATAACAGAATAATGTGAGAAGCCATGTCTTACATTTCAAAGATAATTAACACATCAGATATGCCAAAAACAAGCAGAGTGAGGTGCTCTGCAGGCTGACAGGAAGCCTGGGCCCGCGTCCCATCTGGGAGTGTCCACGTGCACACGCAACCTGACTCTTCACTCTCTGTGAACATTCTGAAACTCTTTCTCTACAAGGCCTTTGTTGCTATCGCACTGGAAACCTGCCCCTGACCATCACTGAGCAGCTGGCCTCTAAGAATGGCCCTGTAAACCCAACACCACCTTCGGAAGGAGGGAGGGAACACACACTGAGAGAAGTGGCTTGGTGCTTTGAGTCAATCTTCTCCGCACTGCAGAGAAAGAAACCAAGTACTGTGGGCAAGGACACACGATGAGACACACGGTATTTCCCAGGCCCTGAACCAGAACTTAGCTTTGGAGTTTCATTGTTTTCTTAAAGAGTTTCACTCACACACAACAAGCTTAAAGCCTCAGATGAAGATACTAAAACCCATTTACAAAGCTTAAATGTGGACGCTACATGACATCTTAGGGCCACAGTCTCAAATAATTCTCGTCTGTCCTCCAAAGACTTAGCAAATAACCTCGATAAAGAATAAAGTGTTCACTGCATAAAACATGCAGCCAGTGACTTTTAGGAGAATTTCCAATCCCAGTAGTCTCATATCTCCCTCCAAATAACGACCTAAGAAACAGAGAACTCTAGAGGTTAAACCCATCCAACCTAGAAAAGGGAAATGGCCTGACTTTGGGTTGTGAAGGGTTTTAATTACTTAGAACACGAAAGGGTTCAGAGTCAACATAATTTATCTAATAAACTTCAGAACTTTTTAGCAAAAAGAATTACTTCAGTTTTAAAATGAAACACTAATTTAAGAAATTTTTATTCCTTGGAATAGCTTTTAAGTAGGCTTACATCAATGTATTACAACTCAAAACCAAATAAAGAGAAAAACGCTCTTCAATTCTTAAAATGCAGACTCACCCTTCTCGCTTTACTGTGGTATTTAATAGCTTTTTTTGTTTCTTCTTTAGCATGTTCTACATAGTCTGCGGCATTCATAACGTTTTTTTCTATGTTGTTGATCATTTCACCCTTAAACAAAAAGTTTCAAACTTAGAAGACATTTTCAAATGCCTCAATTACGTACCTTAAGACAGCCACATCACGTCGATAGTTTTTACGTGAACATAACGTGCATGTAACAGATACCAAATTTTTTTTCACGTTTACAAAAAGATGAGACAATTATAAATGTGCCAATACAAAGTAATCAAAATTCAATTTATGTTTTAAAAAGTACTTAAAGGGATGGGCAACAACGCTGACAATTAAAGGAATATCAAGTAGATTCTGAGATATGCTTTAATTTGAGAACACCTTGGAGAGATGAGCACGGTGAAGGAGAGGCAGCGAGCTTTAAGTCAAACTCATATTGTACTATCATGCACATACATACAGTGTACGAGAGCGACATCTCTTCTAATGGGTAGAAAATTGTTGCAATTTCTTTAAAATAGCAGTAAACTAAGAATAGCTTATGTCTGACACTAAGTTGACTAAATTAATGAACAAAAAGTGCAGTGAATTCAGTGAAATGTTAGGGGAGAAAACACGTTACCTGGTTCTCTGTCCACCAGCAGACAGAATCTGCAGCAGTGAATAGCAAAGCATTGGAGAATGATGCACAATTAACTTATTCGTTCACAATCTAAACTTAGGAGAAAGTTCTGACTGTACATATATTTTGAATTAGATAAATCAACATAACACAATATGAGTAGACTTCTGAAGGAAACAAGGAGACCAAGCTAAGAATACACCGATTTTTCTCATGGAGCTTAATGCAATTCATTTGGTTGAGAACAATTATAATGAAAGGCCAAGGTACTCTAAAATCTTTAGTAATTACAGAAATAATGTGACACTCTTATTGTCTAACTGGTTTCCTTGGAATCCCTCCTGAAAATAAGAAACTGGCAGTAACCAGACTGCCAACTCTGTTCCTTGTATCGTCAAAGGCAATGGGTCCACCCAAAGGGAAAACGAGTGAGATGGTCCCACCCCACCCCCATGTGGTTGTTGGCTTCTCCTGGCAAATGCACAGTACCTCAGTTTCCTACAAACATTTTTATGATAAAGTTCCTCAAAATAAATGGTGTTCTTCAAAAGGTTAGTGACGCGTGTGGACAGTGAATCCTGTACATGGATGAACTTCCTACATAACCCAGGCAACCACAGAAAATAAGTGGTCAGATTTGAACCTTCTTAGAGGACTATTCTTGAAACCAGTCTCCGGAGGAGCGAGGAAGCATTTGCCTAAGACAGTTATTTAAGAAAGCCCCCACTTCACACGGCAGTCAGCTGTGTGAATTCTAACAGCCACTGAATCAGTGACCGACCCCATCCAAACCTCACACAGGATCTGGAAAGTCACAGAGGACCTTATTCAGAGTCACAAGAGTAGGTGTGCACATATCCACACACCTGAGAGGTACATGGCAGCTTGTGTTGTACTTTGCATTTTATGTTTTAAAAACTGTGAACTCCTCCTGTCCTCTCGGGGGGCTCTCTCCATACCCCTTTCCCTGCCTGCTCGCGTGACTGCACAAGCTGACATCCCCATGCAGTAAGTACAAGCTTTGATCTGTGCCCTTTGCGGCTCAGTCTTTTAAACATTTCTCCCAGTTATTACTCTAACATGTGCTCCTTGTAGAAAACTTGAAAATACATATATTTCAGAGAAAATTAAAATTCCCATAGTCCCACTGTTATTACCCTGTTTGGCATACTTCTTTCCTTCTGTGAATACTGTTTTATGTAGCCAAGTTCATGCCATATATATATACACGGATGGTGTGTGTCACATGTATATACTTATACGTGTATGTGTGTGTACACACATAAGGTTTTCTATCTCCCTCTTATCTAAACTTAAAACTGCAGCACATTAATATTTGCCATTAAAAATCCTCCAACAGGCTGTCCTATGGACACACTACAATTTAATTAACTAAACCCGTCCCTTACTGCTGAAAGTTTAAGCTGTTTGCAGCATCTCAAGCTCACATTGCCGCAGCACTGCAATCCACTTTTGAATTTTGGGATTGCACGCAGAATAATGGTTTTCTCAAGTAAACTGGGATCAAATGTAAGATTTTACTCATGTGCGTTAGAGAACAACTGTTCTTTATTTTAGAGTTACCTGAGTCTCAACAAACATAGCCATGTCCATAAACATCTCGTGCAGCTCTCGGATGCTGGTCTCCAGTTTCATGATGTCTTTGTGACGTGACTCAATCTCATTGAGAGCTTGTCTAGTAATTTGTGAATCTGATATAATCTTTAAAGAACAAAAAGAGAGAAATAAAATGAACTGATGATTGCTTCAGAAGTGAAAGAAAAACATATATATCTACATAAAAACATCGGCAGCCACGAAGCCGTGCGCACTCACGTCTGAGGTGAAGATGGAAGGGTTCCCACTTTCCAGCATCTCCTCCAGTTCGTCATCAGTGGTAGTTTTTCCAGCTAAAAGGTTAACAATTAAAAACTCCATTCAGAATGTGGCAATATTTAAAAATGACTGTTTCAACCATAAATCAGCAACTGAAATCTGACTTGTTAACATTTTTCAACAGTTTTTCTAACCTTTCAAAAGTATCTTCTTAGGCAAGTGTTAACGATGAGAGAAATTAACAGAAGACTGAGAAGTAGGAAGAAGTGGAAAAACCTTATCACTGGAATGAATAATAAAATCTAATCTTAGTATAATTGAGAAAACTACAAAAAGGAAATCGATAAGTAATTTTCTGGCACATCAGTTTTCCTAAAAGTATAACCCTAGTGTGGAAAAAGTGGGTAAGCTGAAGTCACCATATATTAAATGGACATAAATAGAGACTCGTAATTAGAACCAGATGCCTTAATACTGTCTACGTTTTGATTGTTAGTATTTTCCCTTGGGTTAAACGTATTAACGCTCTCTATGAAACATGCTCACAGGTTTTCGGAAAAATCTAATTGGTCATTACTATTTTTCACAATATGTGCCAGAAAAGACAAAATTAAATGAATAAACATCACAATAATTAAAATATCATTAAATGTGAATGTTTGTAGCAGCATTATTCATAATTGCCAAAAAGCAGAAACAACCCAATGTCCATGACCTGATGAACAGATAAACATACTGTGGTCCATCCATTAATAGAACATGATTCAGCCGTAAAAAGGGATGAAATACCGACCTGCTACAAGTGGTTGAACCTTGAGAAAACTGTGAAGTGAAAGAGGCTAGTCACAAAGGACCATATATTGTATGATTCTGTTTACAGGAAACGTTCAAAATGGGCAAATTTACATGGATAGAAAAGTAGGTTCATGGGTGGGCTTGGGAAGGGGAAGTGGGAAGTGACTGATAATGACACAGAGTCCCTTTCAGGAGTCATGAAAATGTTCTAGGGGCCAGACTGGTGGCGCAGCCATTAAGTTCGCACATTCCGCTTCGGCGGCCCGGGGTTCACCAGTTCGGATCCAGGGTGTGGACCTACACACTGCTTGTCAAGCCATGCTGTGGCAGGCGTCCCACATATAAAGTAGAGGAAGATGGGCATGGACGTTAGCTCAGGGCCAGTCTTCCTCAGCAAAAAGAGGAGAATTGGTAGCAGATGTTAGCTCAGGGCCAATCTTCCTCAAAAAAATTTTAAAAAAGAAAAGAAAATGTTCTAAAATCGACTGCGCTAAGTTTTCCAAATAGGTACATGAAGCTCAGACATACAAATGTGCTATCTGATGACTTAAATATCTACACACAAATCAAAAAGCATTTCCATAACTTCAACTACAAAAACACAAAGTCAGTAAGACTCCAAATCCAGCAAGGCTGACTTGAAAATATACAGTCAGGACGGTCATGAAGGTGAGGACCAGTAAGGCTGCACCTGAAGAGAAGGCAGGACAGACGAAGCTGGCTGTCACCAGCACACGGCTCCTCCACACGGACACCATCACAGACAACGTCCTAGTAACGCAAGCATGATCTCTAAATATTTAAATATCCTTCAAGACAAGTTATATCTTCAACTTAAGCACAGATCAATGAGCATATCCCACTGACAGGCTATTGAAAGATTTTTAAAAGTCCATGTTAGAGTCAGAATACTCCTACAGTAATTCTGAGTACACAGTGATGATCAGCAGGTACATAAATGCATAAACACAGACTTGAATCTAAGCTAAGCAGTGAGATGTACAAATTATGAATGAGCAGAATAATTCAAAATAGTATTAAATAAGAAACAGTCTCTAAACTGTTCAATACAATTCACACTTATTGTTCAGAATCAAGCATATTTGTATTAGTTTTCAAACCAAATCTTTCTTAAGGAAGAAAAATAAGTTTTTAACAAAAACAGCATTTTCATCTACTCACTTATTTCTAGTTGACGCTGTATACGTCCTTTGCTTCGCTCCCGAAACAGAGTCTGTGCTTCATTATATTCTGTCATAACTTCCACAAACTTTCGAGATAGTACTGAGTGCTATTAAAATAGAAAAAATTAGGGGCCAGCCGAGTGGCACAGTGGTTAAGTTCACGTGCTTCACTTCAGTGGCCTGGGGTTCGGATCCCAGGCACGGACCTAGACACCACTCACCAGCCGTGCTGTGGTGACATCCCACATACAAAAAACAGAGAAAACTAGTCCAGATATTAGCTCAGGGACCCTCTTCCTCAAGCAAAAAGAGGAAGACTGGCACAGATGTTAGCTCAGGGCCAATCTTCCTCACCAACAAAAAATTAGATTAATATATCATGGTCATTTCTTCTATTGAAAGTGAAATACAAAAAACGTTACATTACAGAGATTCAAACTGTTATGCTACTCCTTCAAATGGCAACTAAGAGTAACAGCAAGTTCCTCTCTAACAGACCGGTGCTCAGAGCTTCACATGCGGTATCTTACTTGATTCTCACAATAAGCCTGCTGCACCATTAGCATCCCCATTTTACAGAAGTGAAAACCATGATTCAGAGAGCTCAAGCAGCCAGGTTACAGGCCGAGTGGATCAGGGTTGGCGCCCAAGCAGGCTGACCCCAGGGCCTGCACGTTAATCACCATTTGTCAAGGAGAGTGAAGTGGTCTGAATTCCACTTGGCTGCACCAGAAACCTCTGATGGTGAGGACGTTACTATGAAAACTAAAATGATTTGCATAATTCTTTACTCTTCAGAGTGGAATTCTCTGAGTGGACTGAACAGACTTTTTTCTTTGTAATAAAGAGAGGTAGTGTACAAATACTATATCCTTTTTATGCACAAATGTCGTGAGGATTAATGTGATAGTAAAGATGAGCTTATTTTCATTTGAAAGAAGAAAGTGAAAAGACCTATCCTGGGGCATCACTTCAATCTAGGAGGCTGGTGATCAAACCTGGGTTCTTCGTATGCGGAGATCCACTGAAGTTCGGTGTCCACCCTCATCCTGATCAAAACTCTGTTCAATAGCTGCAAACAAACAGGAAAGAGTTACCTTTGACACTAAAAAGTGAAAGTTTTTCAAGCCAAACCTCAAACTGCTTTTCTTTCTTATCTTTTCGACCCCTAACAAATTAATGGATCTTGATAATAATTATCAGTATCAATAATTATATTTATCAATAATAATACTATTATTATCTCTAAGTCACATTAATTATCATAAATCCTCTGGCCCACCCGGGGGGGATTTCGAAGCCAATCCCAGGCATCACCGCCAGGAGCCGTGAGGCTGCAGAGGCGCGGTGTGGACCCTGGGCTGTGGTAGTGATCGCCCTGCTCTAGGTAGGTCTGAAATCTTCTGTCAGAAAAGTTCTTCTTGATCTGCAGAGGTTTTCTTGATTTGAATGCTATTTTGTAAAAATTAAGTACGATGCGTCTTTTTAGCACATCAGAAAGCACGGCCTCTGTTTAAGGGCCACAGGAAAGCTATAAACCTCTAGAAACCACTGCAGCCGACGCTGAACACAGAGCCCCAGAAACTAAGCTGAACGGCGCTAAATGTTCCCAAGAACCTGCCGACTCAAAGAACCACCCAGGAAGGACCTGGCAATTCACTCTAAAGACCATCCACCTTCTCAAATAACTGCAAGTTAGCCAGAAATGTGATAAAAATATACCACCGTAAAAGATCAACGTTTTATAAGCAATAGCGTAATCTTGATGAATGTGAACTGGTGCTTTTCTCCTGAATTGAAGGAGTAACAACCATTATTTCAGCTCCTCACATGCACTCCTTAGAGCAGGCTGTTTAAGAATAATATAACTTAAAGGTTTACTATTCCAAGTACATACAAATAATTTAAAGTGCCCATAATTTTAACTTTTGAAAATGTAAAGGAATAAAAAATTACAAAGAAAATAATTACCCATTTTCCCACCATCCAGGATTAAACATAACCAAAACTTTAAACTCACACTTTAACTTGGCTCGAATTTTATTAGCAGTTTTCTTGATTTCTTTGTTCAAATCTTCAAGCTCTTCTTTTATTTCTTTGAAATCAAAAAAAAGGGGCATCTGAGCTATAGTATCCAACATCAAGAATTTCTAATAAACTTAAACAGAACAATATTTTTGGTAAACATTCAGATTTATGTTTTCCTAAGAAACATCACTGATCAGCCAGTGGTTCTCAAAGTGTGGTCCCTGGACCAGCAGCTTCAACGTCAGGCGGGAGCTTAGCAGCAACGCAAACTCCTGGGCCTCACCCCGACCTACTCAGTAGGGGCCAGAACTCTGACTTAACAAGCCCTCCAGGTGTTTCTGGTGCCCAGCTAAGTTTGAGAAGAGCTGGTTTATACCAATTAATTGATGAAATAGTTCACCAAACCCATTGCTAACACCTAGCCCCGAAAAAGGAAAGCAGAAAATTAATCATATTCTGGGGGGAAAAAAAAGTCTCCCATGTGTTTGATTTCTTTTCTGCTATCCACTATCCAATGAGAGCAGGTTCCAGGTGGGAGTGTGGTTCCTGCACCGTGGGAGGCTGAAGCCAACAGCCCCAGAGACCCAGTCACAGGTGTGGGGAAGTAGAGCCGAGTGCAGGAACCCCAGGTTAAAAATGCACGGGATCTGGCCCCACAAGCACCTAACCACAGCACCAGGCTCTGGGGACGGGTGCAAACCACGGAGCAGCTGCAGAGCAACCAGAACTGGGGACGGAGCGTGCTAGTGGACTAGAGTCGCATTCTTCAGCTGGCATTCCCAAGGAGGACTCTCCTTGCTGGATAAGACAGCCCCTCAGCTGTTACACAACAGGGTTGGGGACACTCAAGAGGGAGACGCTGGACTTCCTGCTGATACAGGCACAGGGGCTCAAGCATTAATGAGAGAGATAAAAGAGCATTACCACATTGGATCCTTCGAGCTACAGAAGGTCACAAGGTTATACTTGGTAAAGGTGGTATTTCAAATCACTGAGAAAAGAATGAGAGACTGGGAACTCCCTCTTCCAGTGGACTAGATAATTCTGATCAGGCCTCCTACTGAGAACAGTCAGAAAAGCGGGACAACATATTTTTTAAATCTGGTTAAAGGCATCATAAAGCTAAAAAGGCAGGAAAAAAGATCTATGAGAAGGAAATCGCAGGAAGAAAGTCCAGCAACGGGAGCTGCCTTACCAGAGCCGCAGCTGAGGCACTGAGCAGCCAGAGAACCTGTGCCGAGGCCGAAGGCCACGCCCCAGCAGCAGGGCTCCTGGGAAGGAGGCTGGCCTCACAGGGGCCAAAGCCTCGCTCTGAACCATCTCACTCTCTGAAACAAGATCCTGAACTGCTGTCAGAAATTTTTAAATCTCTTCATCTCTTAAATCAATGTCATCTCTTAAAAAAGAAAATACTATCCCAGGACTCAAATTATTGCCACAAGTTTTCATATACAAAGCCCAGCACTAAATCAAAAATAACCACGCAAAAAAGAGAAAATAGAACATGAATCAAACCCAAGAAAAACAACAGATGACACAAACAGATCCACAGGGGTACCAGCTGATGGAGTTATCAGACACAGACGGTCAAATAATTATGTTCCAAGGGGTGAGATACAAGACTAAGAATTTTGTCAGAAAGTAGGACAGTGTAAAAAGGAACCAAATGAAATTCTAGGACTGAAAAATATGTTAACCAAAAATAACTCAATAGGTGAAGAGAGATTCCCTGTCCTGGAAGATAACACCTGAGGAGATAAATCAGAAAGATTTCAAATAAGAGATGGCAACACAAATGACGGAAAACAGAGCAGAGGACAACAGACATACAGGGTACAGCAAAAGGGTCTAAAACAGATAATTCGAGCCTCAAAAAGGAAGTGACAGAAAATGGAGCAAAGACGATTTATGAAGAAAATACGGCCAAAATTTTTCCAAAACTGCTAGAAAATATCAACCCAAAGATTCAAGAAGCCTTATAAAAAGCAGGATAAATAAAAAGAAAACCACATCTGGAAACAGCAAAGTAAAATTGCTAAACCCAAAGACAAAAAACCAAGTATTTGAAAAGCTACCATTAGACAGCTGACGTAAGAAAAAAAAAAAAGACACTGGAAAGATATCTTCCAAATCTTTAAGATGGGAAAAGAAAATAACTTTCAAACTAGACTCCTGTACTCAGTGAAAATATCCTTCAGGAACGAGGATAAATAAGGATAATTTCAGACAATAGCATATCCCTACTAAAAGAAATAATAAAGAGGGGGCCGGCCCGTGGCCGAGTGGTTAAGATCCCGCACTCCACTTCGGCAGCCCAGGGTTTCGCCGGTTCAGATCCTGGGCACAGACATGGCACTGCTCATCAAGCCACGCTGAGGTGGCATCCCACATGCCACAACTAGAAGGACCCACAACTAAAAATACACAACTATGTACTGGGGGGCTTTGGAAGAAAAAGTAAAAATAAAATCTTCAGGAAACAAAAAAAAAAGTAATAAAGAGTGTTTTTTAGAAAGAAGAAAAAATGATCTCAAATGGAAGTTTGGAGACACGGGAAAACGAGGAGCATTGGTGCAGGTCAGCATGGGAGTGGTTCCCATGTCTGTTAACTGTATGAGAACATAAAATACACGTACACATCCTCTCCACCTATTACATACACACAACAGTAAGAACACACAGGAAAGGATGGGGTTACAGCTGCCCAGGGTCCTTGTGTTACTTGTAAGCAGTAAAAATACAGTTATATTAGACTTGCACAAGTCACGAGTGCATACAGCAATCTACAGGACACCCTCCAAATCACAGGAAGCAGTACACACAAACCAGCTAACACAGAGGGGGTCAAATGCTGAAAACCAATCCAAAGGAAAGCTTGAGAAGAGAGCAGTAACACAGAACAAGCAAGAAAAATAAAAAGCAAAAGAGATTATGATTGTTAGTCCTAATATATAAATAATGCCAGTAAATATACTAAAAGCCCTAATAAAGGCAAAAAAAATGATCAAACTGGATAAAAAGACAAAACTCAACTATATTTTATTTACAAAAGCTGAGAAACATTAAAATATAAAGATATAGAAAGATCAAAAGAAAATGATAGAAGCTATATACGCACGTACACACTAGTCAAAGAAAACTGGCAGAGGGGCCGGCCCGGTGGCACAGTGGTTAAGTTTGCACATTCTGCTTCCATGGCCCAGGGTTTGCCAGTTTGGATCCCAGGTGCAGACATGGCACCCTTGACAAGCCATGCTGTGGTAGGTGTCCCACACATAAAGTAGAGGAAGATGGGCACGGATGTTACCTCAGGGCCAGTCTTCCTCAGCAAAAGAGAGGAGGACTAGCAGTAGTTAGCTCAGGTCTAATCTTCCTCAAAAAAAAAAAAAAAAGAAAGAAAAAGAAAACTGGCAGAGCTTTGCTAATATCAGGCAAAGTGGACAGGAAGGCCAGGCATCACTGAGATGATAGGTCACTCTACAACAAAGGGCTCGACTCACACAGAGCTACTATAATCCGGAACGCGTACGTTTCCAGGCTTTACCTGCATGTGTGTCTGGAGTGGAGCCTGAAAAGAGGGGAAAACAGAGCTGCACAGGACATCACTGGGACAATTCCTGAAATGAGCATGGACTGTGGAGTGGACAAGAGTATTTTATCAATGTTGCACATTCTGAACTAGACAATTCCATGGTCAGTATGTGAAAGAATATGCTTCCTAGGAGGCAAACACTGGAGCAGTTGGGGTGGGTGGTCATGAGGCCTACAACTTATTCTACAGCGATTCAGCAAAAATAACGTGCATATCTCTACAATGTGTGTGTGTGTACGCACACAAACACACATACACACAAAGAGAAAGAAATCAAAAGCGGCAAATGTCAACAATTAGTGAATCTAGTGAAGGAAACATGAGTTTTACTGTACCATAAACGCAGCTTTTCCACAGCTCTGAAAACTCTCAAACTAAACATCTGAAAGTGTGTTTACTTGTGCGAGTCCTCTGATCTAGCACGTCCATTCCTAGGAATTCCGGCCAAAGAGCCCAGGTGACAAGGACTCAGAGACGTGAGGCCACGAGGATGGCGCTGTGGAACTGCTCACCCTCGCGAACATCTGCACACTCGGTGTGCGTGCAGCACCAGGTCAGCGCCTTACAGGCATCGCTTCCGAACAGCAGCGCGGATGAAAGAGCTGGCTCCAGAGTCGGGACTGTCTCAAATCTGCTGAAAAACCAGGCTCTTGAGGCTCTGGACTGACTGCTCACCCTTTCTAAGCCTCAAGACTCTCAGCTCTCAGACAGACCTAATGAGAGCGTCAGCTTCATGAGGTTATTTCAAAGAACAAATGAAACTCCTCATGCAAGCATTTAGTGTAGTACCTGCTGTTCTGTGTACGTCAGTGAGCGTAAGTTAATGACGCCATTCTGACCCTATAATAATGCAAGGTCCTCATAAGAACCATTGCATACTATAAGGAAGCCACTTGTAAATCGTCAAAGACAAGGCTGACACTCTACCCAAGACTGTTTGGTTCCAAAACAGGATGCTCCCACATGAATAGCAAAGAATGCGAAAATCAACTTCTATGCAGCCATTAAAGGGATCATGTAAATCTACATTCATTAACCAAAGAAGTACGCTGTAAAAGAAGTACTGTATGAACCAAATTCTATACTTTTAAAATTGTGTTTTTACACATACACTGTTTTTTGCTCGAAGAATATTTATCAATATGTTAGTGGTGTTTATCACAGAGGGACAAATTATGGGTGGGTTTTTTTCCCCTCCTTTCTGTTTCCCAAAATGTCCACAATAAGCATGTATTAACTTTGATAACACAAAACAGGTTACCTTTAAAAGATGAAGAAGACAAAGATGAAGAGGACAAAGGAAGAGGAAGAGGAGGAGGGGAGGGGAGTAGGGGCTGGTAGGTAGGGCTGGACACTAGCTAAGGAGAGAGGAAAAATGACGAGGGCTGAGCGTGTGGGCAGAAACGGCAGTTGGATGATGGGGGGAGGGAGCCCCAGAAGACCGCGCTCTCAAAGGAAGAACCAGCTGCTGCAGG